CTTCTCTCATATAGTTTGCTCTCCTTTGAGCTTTCACTGTGAACTGGATGCCAAACTGGCTGCAGATGCCCTTGAAAGTAACAACCTCACTGAAGAACTGTTAAACATCACTCTACACATTGTCATTCTCTTTTGGTTAGGCAAGATTAATTATTAGGTTACAATGAGTCAACCACGCCAGTGTTTAGTTTATACAGGTCTTGATAACCAATTCAGTTTAACACTTTTAGTATGGAACTTAAGGCTGTACCAATTATCCACTCAGATATTTTTAGTAATGTGAACTCTGTGGTTATGCAGACAGCTAGCAGACTCTCCCATGGGAAATACAGCATCTTTCCTTTGTCCTTTAAACCTAACACTCTTTTTGTATTATCTGTTTAACTGTACTTCAAAATCACCTTGCAACATGTTCATGGCCAAGTAATAATGTCTTATAGATGCCAGGCAAGACAATAGGAAACTGTTTTGAATGTGATGGTAACAACAGTCGACATCCGAACTCCAGACCCAGATCTGAATTTTATGCCACTGCTCTGACAGAGATTATTGTTTCTTCCAGAGTGGCCAAAAGTTTTATAAGAATGTACTGTAGAGAGTGAATCTGCTAACACAAAGTGATATGGCTGGCTGGGTAAAGTAACCAGAAATATTATAAATTATTTTCTACATTTTAAGGAAGCTCAGCTACCCTCAGCGTAGCCTGGGCTGTATGTTGTTTCTACACAGCTTGTACTCACTGCCATGTATCTGATAATGCCTTGTGGCAAGATTCTGTGTCCAACGTCAGACAGAGAATTTGGCACAGGATCCTGACATCCCCTGCAGCATGTGCTGTGTGACACACAGGGTGCCAAGCTTTAGATTATCTTGTATAGGTGATTTAGAAAAAGTAGCACAGGTATTAGAGCACACAGAAAGTATGCTCTAAAGTATGCTCTTTTTGATTATGTGCTCTAAAAACACAGAGATAACATTAGCATTGCCAGTGCTTATGTATGTCAGAAGAACAGTGCTGGCCCACAGTGACTGTTTTTCCATCTCTGTATGTAAAATCATTTTAAATAATACTGACTACGGTCTTTTTTTTAAAACCATTAGACACTTTGTCCACACAAGACTTGTCTATAACTGGTGGCATAAGTAGGTTTCTGCATGCCTGTGTATTCATCTCCAGAGAATATTTGAAATTAGTATACTGTTGAAGAAAATATAAATCTCTGAGTGCCTAGAAAGTAGGCAATTTGATTAACAGGTAAACTGTTGTTATTATAGTTGTGTTTCTTTTTTTTCCTGAGTGATGAAGATGTTCTTTTTATTTGGTGTTTTTTTCTTTTGATTCATTCACCAATTCTCAACACATATTGATAACATTATGGCATCTTGAACAACTCCAGTATATTGCAGGAATTGTTTAAAAGGTTAGATACCAGTTATCAATATTTATCCTACAGATTAGCAATCTCTGTCTCAACCTGTGAAAAAGTAAAAATATTAGAATTGGTAGAAGGATCTGAATAGTTTAATTAATAAGTTTTACAGTATTTCATTCTTTGAAACATTAATTATGGTGCCTTTTATGTGCAGATGTGAGCTAGCTTTCAGCACTAAACTATCTTTGAAAATATTTACAACAGACATAGTTCCTACATGCAAAACAGTGACAAGACAAAAAAAGAGGTGATACTTCTACTTGCACTGATGCACAAGTTTATAGGTTACCAAATAAACAGTATCTTTTTATATTTTCAGTAAATAACGTATAAAGATTAATTTGGATTCTGCCCTGCCATACATAAAGAATTATTTAATGTCTGCACTTAATAGTGACTGATTCATTTTTAATCAAGATGATTCATTTTTGTTCTAGGTTGTTAAAGGAATATCCAGGATTTGTGTTCACACCCCGCTCAAGAGAAGAGCTTCCACCAAATTTTCCCAGTGATATCCCTGGAATTTGCTATTTTCTGGATGCTTATATTCAAGGAACAAACTCACAGACTTGGTTTCAAAAGAGAGATTTGGGAGATGGCAATGCCAATTTTTTGGGTGAGGAAACAGGAATAGACTAAATTGTACATTCAGAAATGTAAAGAATAAATTTATAAATATTTGTATTTTTTTTGTATAAATTGAAAATTTTTAAAACTGTATGAAACATGCAAGCACTTTAGATTGTTAACACCTGAAAGCCAGTATTAAAATTTCAGGAAGTATGTCACTGACTACTTTTTATTTTTCCTTTGCATAAGGAACACAGTCACTAAAGTAATGTTGCAGCTTCACAGTTGGAAATGCTACTATAAACTGTATTTTCCCTGTGGTAATTTGTTAGTGCTACGTAATAACTCAGTTCTCTCTGTACTGAGAATTCTAGACGTATTGTATATGCAGTTTGTCAGGAAATGTAATGTGCAAGTGATGCAGCCACATGCAGTGTTGTGAGCTGGTGCTTATCAATGACTATTAAAATGTATTTTCTTAGAGATTCCATAAGAAAATGTCCATTAAAATAGTGTCATTGCTATCACGTACTCCTCCCAGTGCATCATTTGGGCCCCATCCTAGAAGTTGCTGATCATCTTCTCACACTGACTGGAGTCAAATTATGAGGGTGCTCAGCATTTTCTGGATCAGGCTGCTAATTGTAGCTAATAAACATGCATAGCAGAGTTGCCGCTTACTGTTTCATGAACTTTATTTTGTGTATAAAATTAATATAGATTAAACCACTGTATAATCACATACTAAAGTCTGTAATCATCAAACTATTTTAGTTCTTAGGGTTTTTAAAATACTTTAAAATAAAAATATCCACTTGTTATTACGTATTACAGCAATAAATGTTTTCTTCTTGTTGTCATTTAAATTTGAAATGTTTTAACAGAAGTGTAATAAAACATGATTTGGAATGTTTGCTTAGAAAGGAAATTCCAATTAGACTGTATAAAATGGAACAGAAGCACACCAGCTTAAAGCTATGATCCTTATTCAAGGATGCAGTGTGGGGTATAACATGTTATGGAATGGCCTATCATATGCTCACTTTAAACTTACCAGGAGAATCTTCAAGTGAGCAGAAATGCTTTAAAACATATGAACATATATACAAAGATTAATATTACTACAGTACAAGCTTTTTTGTTGTGGATGATGGAAAATGAATGAAGAACTCTAAAGGGTCTGCCTCTGGTACTGGCAGAATAGAGTTAGTTAAGAGTTGTGCATTTAGGTTTCTGTCTGATCTCTAAGTAGCAGATCCATCTGCCCGGAAATTCCTCTGTGCTGTACAGTTTGATCCCAGCTGCGAGCTGGAGAATTGCAGAGCTTACACACACTACTATTTCCAGTAGTATCAAATATTCTTAGTTATTATTCTAATCTCTTAAACTCTTGGCCTTTGGCATATCAAGCCATAAAAGTCTTTCTTCAAGCTACTTGTCACTAAATCAGATTTTGCTTTCTGAATATCTACAGGGAGCAATTACGTTAGACTAAGGTGCCATTTTATTCATTTTCTGATCTTGACTGGTACATTCTGAAGCTCAATGTACCATTTTATCCTGCTATTTTGTGGTAGAAACTCATACAGAACATGTAGCATCAGAGCCTTGAGAAAAGTCCTTATAAGAGTCTAGCATTAACAACATTTTAAAACTGTATTTCAATTCAGATTTCCTGTAAGCAGCATTTGAACAAAACTTGAAATGTTGAATCCTTCTATTGCTTGAGGTCTACTATATCCATCTAAGATGCTTAGAAATAATTCTGTGACACAAAAATGGAACCTGAAAGTCTGTGTATCGTATATAAACATATCTCTCTATTGCACACACACGTATTCAAGCAAACGTATCTGTAACATTTTTGACAGTAGTATTTCAAGGAAACAAGAACTATGCAAATTTTCATCTTTGCAACATTATATTGGTCAGAAAATTCTATTTAATTGACAAAAATACCCAAAGGTTACTAGCAGTCCCATGTCGGTGCCCCTGGATATAAAAATGTGGGAATATTTGACTACTGACTCTTCAGTAGGCTTATGGTATTAAGTCAGTAATGACTGAGGTCAGCATGAATCTATCCATCACTGTCATTTATTGAATGTTAAAAAACCCCAGGCTTTTAAATAAAAAGGATTTCTTTCTCCAGATCTACTGAATAAGAGGGATGCTTAGGAGGGAATTTTCTTTTGTCCCTAGAAAAGAACTATTGCTGGACTAGACGATGGCCATGCTCAAGGCCAAATTCTGTATAAATCTGTCATTAAATAGGATGTTTATCATGGCAGTTCCTGACACCTTCCTAAGGGGTGTCAACCTTCAGAGAAGAATTCTGGTAAGGTGTACACAGAAAGCAACATGCCTGAATCTCAGTGAAGTAAATAGGATTTAGGCATGTATTTAAGACAGTAATTCACAAAAGTGCTTTAAAATGTACTTGTGTTCAGACCAGTTCTGCCAAAAAGCCACAAGTATGATTAGCTTTAAGCATAATTTAAGAATTTCGATTTCACTGAAGCTGTTCTTCTGTTTAAGTTTTTTTGCTGAATAAATATGTATTTAATAAGGGACAATTATTTTAACTGATCTTTTCACTCGGATCTAAAATATTTCTTTCACTTTTTAACTAATTTTTTAACTTAAATCCAGTAGAAAAAGAAAAAAAGAATCAGAAAGCCAATAAGCAAATTGTTGAGATAAACAAAAGGAAGGCAATTTAAGCCATGCAATACTGGGATATTTTGCAAGAAAATAAAAGAGTTGTTTGTAAGTTGATATCTTGTATTATAGTGTGTTATATTGTGGAAATCTTCAGAGGCTATGCAATGTTATTTACATAAATATACAAATACCATAGTATTATGTCCAGAAACAGTTTTTTTATATCTGAAATTTTATTTTATTAGTTCATGAAGATTCTGTGGGGCTGATTCCCATTCACATTTACACTGTGATGGAAGATACATTTTTATTACATTGCAATTTCTTTGCCAAAGAGGTGTAAATGGCCCTTGAAATAAATAAAAAGTGGGTCCTTTGAATCTTAACAGTGATATAGCTAAAGAGAAAGCTATAGCAAAAGAATTCAACTAATTTGATTTCATTCAGGCATGACCTGATAAGATTCCAGGAAGATGTTGGAAAAAAAATTCACACTGCTGGTATTAGAGGAAATACAATTAGCGTGGAGCTGATGGTTTCTTTCTCACTGAACTGCTGTGCAAAACCAAAGCAAACGAACTCACAGAAACTAACAAAACAGTGAAGAGCACAGATAATTGAGCCCCTGGGACAGATATACTTTTTCCTAGGAAATCTTATGAAGGAAGAATTCAGACCTCCCCCAAACCCAGTTTATTTCTCCCATAATTTTATTTCACAATCTTTTCAGAAACAGCTGCAACAAACAATACAGGAGGCAAAATCAGTATTTCTAACTGAAAGCCATCAGAATTAAGGGGAATTGCTCTTGAATCTTGGCTAGGAGACCCTTTTTCAAACCCCACCCATCCTACAACCTACCAGGCTACTCTAGCTGCTACCGTTTTTTTTTAATGCCTGCTCATTGTTCTGCAAAAGCAGTGGGAGATTCGTTTCCTGCAAAAGCAATAACTTTTGTGGCTATTTGCCATATAGTGTACAACATACTGAGTTGCTTTCAAAGTCCTGCTCCAGTTTATCATAAGCCAGCTTGGCAGGGACCAAATTTAACTGAGGCTATTTCTGAAAGGAGAGCTAGAACTTTCTTTTCTACCTCTAAAATCTGCAAGATGTGCACCACAACAGTCTTTAGAGACCTCTAGAACCACTCTGATGGTATCGCTGCTCACAACTGCATAGGAAGGAAATAATCAGATATAGGCTTTTTTTTTTTTTTTTTTTAACTTCCCAATCCATTTGCATGAGTTCACTGGTAGCCCTTTTCTGCAGAGCACAGAGGGAGAGTAAAAGTCACTGTCTTATATTACTCAGCATTGCTCTTGTACTGAGGGACAAATAAAAGATGGAAAATAATCGATGGTTTTGAAACCTTTGCTACATCCAGATGCAATCATTTAAAGATACATACTCTCCTGAGCACAAACAGAAAGATCTGAATGTTAAATATGCAGTTAGGCTGGAACATGAAGCTGGAGAGCCAGTCAAAGAAATAATAAACTGTGAAAGAATTTGAAACAAAGTAAACAACCTTATAAAGTTGTGTGTCTCATCTGCTTCAGCAGGCTTTTGATGCTGAAAGCAAAGTCGAACCAGCGGTTTCCTAATATAAATGTAAATGAGCACGTTGCTTTGCAGTCCTATTATAAGGCATCCTTTGAAGATCTGTGCTAAAATTGTTTCTCATCTTTTGAGCAGTACAAAGTTACAAATTTTTATGCCACTACAGCAAACAAACACCATGTTTACATGCACATCCTGCACACACAGCACATAATGGGAAGTAACTGAGAGAATGCATGCAGTAACATCCCAAGGATATGAAAAGAGGTAGATTAAGTCATAGATACATTTCCTCCTGATTTTTCAGCCCGAACAAAACCTGCCAAAGAAATATCAAGGACAAAGGCGTTACCAGGGGTTTTGGAATACAAGCATGTAAAAATGAATAGGAGTCTTTCCACTGATTGCAGATGATGTTAGGGAAGATTTGGATATATTGTTAGTTTGCTCCACATGGCTAAGATTACATTCCTCTTACAGGAGGATGCAACAGAGTGCTCAGTTTCTCAAATATACATGTTACTGCATTACAGAACAGCATGGACATATTGAGGGCTGTTTCATTCCTAGCTTGACAATACCAGTATTGAAAAATGAATGTAATGGTATAGTAAATCAGTGTATAGTTGCACATTAAAAATAATGAATCTTGCTGAAGTGATCTTAAGAGTGTATTTCTGCATCTCGTTAGTAGTATTATGACAATTCCAAATGTCAAGTCTCAGACCATTATGATTTGAAATTTAATTAGAAAATACCCATAATTCAATCCAATGTCAACAAAGTAACTCCCTCTTCAGTAAGTGGAATCCAGCAATACCATATAAGGTAGCGTTTTTATTCAGGATTACAGTAACAAAATGAACTGTAAAAGCAAAGTCCAAAGTAAAAAATGCAACTTATTAAAATGCTTCCTTTGTTTTATAATGCTTGTGTATTAACACAAACCATATTAAGCTGAATGCAGATGTTCTTTTCCAGCTAGTGGTTTCCCAAAGTTATTGTCTCAGCAACTGCCCTTTCACACAGCATAAAGGATCCTATGTTACTTTTTGCTTTCATGGATCTCATCAGGAATTGCCAGATCAAGTCAGCATCTCAAATCAGGAAGAAACATGTTAAAATAAAACACCTCTTAAAATGTATAGCAGTTGTTTTTCAGCTGTAATCACTGACTGCAATTCTTGCCTTTTTGATGGCCAGTGCAGGAGGCTCTTCCTGAGAAATATGTTCAGGGGAACACAAAGAGGCAAATTTGTCTGGTAGGAATTCTGTTACAAAAAACACTGCCTAAAAGGTTCCTTTCTCATCAGCATTCCATCCCATGCACGTCCCAGTTGTATCTAGTGCCACAGCTACTCTCTCACTCCTGAATACCAAAAAGCAGCTAGGCAGTAGGTCTTGAGCAGTACCTAGTGCATGAGGGTCCCCAAATGGGAATATGATTGTGTGCTACAGTGGAATAAGCTGCAGGCTTTATGGAAGTGCATCAGATACAGTCCAAATGGTTGTGTGATGTGCATAATGCATGTGACCTAACAGTCCTGGTACTGACAGGGTTGGGCCTTGAAAACACAGCTCAGTACTAACAGCTTAATCTGACATGTATTTTATCTTATTGACTTGGAGCCTTTCCTTTAGTTGAAACCAAATCTTGCCTAAGACCTACCAGATAGTCTTGATTCAGCAGGCATCGGGAATGGAAGCTTGTCCCTCTCAGCAAATCACTTTGTTGAATTCTTTAATTCAGCATCTTCAAAACTTCTGAAAGGGCATCCCTGTTTTAGAAAACTAAATCAATCACTATCTACTTTAACTCCTCCCATGCTGTTGTCACTTCACATTTTACAAATCTCACCTTGACTAGAATTTCCATTTGTATTACAATCAGTTAATCACAAGAACAGCTTGCAAATGCAAGTTACCAAACTCCGAAGAAGAAAGGCAATTTCATACTTGTCTAAGGCAATTTTGACCTTTGTAGCACTTTTGAAAAAATGTCACTCAGGTACACAAAATTGAAAGGATAATCTACTTTCTGAAAACCATATCCAAAAAGAATTTCATGTAATCTCTCTAATATTTTATGAGCACAAGGGCTCACCCCATAAGCAGACCGAGCAAGTGGATTCCCTTGAAACCTGTGAAGAACGAGGATAGTTCTTACACCGATTCTCAATGGAGAACTACAACTTTGTATTGTAGGGCATGTTTTCCTATTTTCCCAAAATTTACTTTCTACCAAATAGAAAAAGTAGATAATGACCTGATGTACTCAAATCTTAGTTAATTGGTGAAAGCCGACCACTCCTCAGCTGTAGGAAAATATAGCCTTTGGTTTGGTTTCAGCACCATGATTTATGACATTATCTCTGTTGCCAGTTTCTTGGAAATTGAAGAGAATTTTAGAGATTTTCATCTATTCAATTTTTGTTTGGTTTTCTACACAGATATATTTAACCAGTAGTTTGGTTAATTTATCTAAATATTTCCTTTCCTCCCTACAAACTAAGCTTATTACTTCTATGATTTTTAACAGATTATACAGAAGCTTTTGTGCTTGGTCATTCTTTTAAAAAATCTAAAATTGGTTTTCCCAGTAGATTTGGAATGTATTAAACTAAGTAGAATTCATTATTGTGCCTACATGACCTAACAGCAGGGTTTCCCTCTGCTGTTCTTACAATGTCTACTGAGATCACTTTGCCAAATTTCTAATGTCTATCTCACTTAGAAGAATTTTTAACATATATTATCACAGATTCAAAAGTTTACCAGGCAATAGATGAATTTTCAAAAGATTTTATATGGTGTCATTTTTTAACTTACTTACATGGAATTTCCAACATACATACTTCATTTTTTTTTCCAAGAAGTATGTGAACAGTTCAAAATTTAAACTTACTCTATCTTACTAAGGTCTGAACTTCTGTAATTTTACTTATGTCTAGAATCCATTTGGATTGGTTGGTGTCTGTGGCTTAGTGCCTTCATGTATCAAGGTCTCTGCCCAAGAGCTGCTACAGTATAGCAGACAAACTAATTATCTCTTTAATATATTTTGATTCTTTTTAAGCAAGCCAAGAAAATAAAAATCAGTAGTCTCCTTAGAATTTTTATTTCATACACTGAGGCCAGGTCTTTTGATGGTACAAAGAGCTTTAAACTACATGGGTTTTTCAAGTGCTGCACAATCTTTTTTTGTTCCATATATAGGATAACATATGATGACAGTATGTTATTTCTGATCTGTCCTTGTCATATTGTCAGTAATCCTCTACTCAAAAAATCCTGTTGTAAGGATCATACCTTACTTAGAGAATCCTTTAGGAATCCATCTGCAGGTTACTGATACAATGCAGTGTTTATTCACAGTGGCTACTGACAGGGATTCAATAATACAAAAGAAAACGCCCATTACTGAGACCACTCATTATTATGCTTTTAACTTCACCATCTTTTGAAAAATGAACGTGCAGGGCAGAAATATCTGCGGTCATTTTGTCCCTCGGATTCTTCACTTTTTAGAAGGCATTTATCTTCCTAAAAGTTGAGCGGTCGCATTGGTATATGAAAGAACTGTGGAAGCGTTTCTGTTCCTGCGAATGTAGCCACTGCAAAGAGCAGTGACACCAGAGCGAGCACACCTTGGGTACCCACCCAACCACCAGGAAGGTGCCAGGCACCTGGATCACCTGGATGACGCCCGGCCCCGCGATAGGCGCGGGCAGCACTGCCCGCTGCGCTCCGGGCGGCGCCGGCCCGCGGCCCGTACCCGCCCCCACCACCTCCCGCAGTCCCGCCCCTTCTCTTGATTGGGAGAGAGTGCAGAGGCCGCGCTCGTCATTGGCTGCTAGAACAGCGGCCACGCTCTCCATTGGCTGCCGGCGGTGCCACTCGGGGCGGCGGGGCTGGGGGCGGCGGTGAGGCGGCGGGGCCAAGGCTCTGTTTCGCGGCGGCGGCAGCGCCACTGGCACCGGCACCGGCACCATGGTGAGCTCCGCCCGGCCGCACTCCCGGCCCGGGACACTGGGGCTGCTGGGGGGCGTCCGCCCTACCCAGGCCTGGGCCCGTGGTGGGAGGGAAGAGGCTGAATCCACTTGGGAAGCGGGAAGCCGGGCCCCAGCCCTTTGTTTCGGGGGGAGATGGGGGTGATGTTTCCTATGGTGGGATCGCTTCCCACCGGCGTGGTGGGAAGGGTGGGATGGGATGCTGCGGGGCGCGGGAAGGGGCTCTCCTGCCTCCCGGTGCCTGACCGTGCCGCCGCCTCGCCCTGCCCGCAGTACGGCTTCGTCAATCACGCCCTGGAGCTGCTCGTCATCCGCAACTACGGCCCGGCCGTCTGGGAGGACATCAAGTAAGTGTGTGTGTGTCTGTCTGTCTGTCTGTGTCTGTGCGTGTGTGTGTGTGTGTCTGTGCGTGTATGTGTGTCTGTTCGTGTGTGTCTGCCTGTCTGTCTGTTTGTCCGCGAGTCCGGGCGGGGCAGGGGGCCGGCAGCGGTGCCCAGGACGCCGCTTGTCCCGCAGCCGTGACAGGACCAGAGCGGCTCCTGCCGCCCCTCGTCACCTCGCGGCCTCTCCTAACGCCGCCAAAGATCCGTCTGGTTCCACCTTTCCCGGTCTCCAGGAGCCGCAGCGGGGATGGCGTTGATCCCCGCGGTTCCCTCGGCTGTGCGGACTAAGTGGCAGAAATAACGTGCGGGCAAAATGCCCTGAAGCCACGGATATGCCCGTCCTTGCATCCGGCCACCAGGTGAACCAGGCAACAGTTGCATCCCTTCGCATCCCTGAAGGAGCTGAAATACAGCGTTTAGCTAATAAACGCGGTCTAAAACCAGTGTGAGATTTTGGTAATGTCCTCGCTTGAAATTAAAAAAAGTCACTGATTATATAGAGAAATATATATAAGAATGTAAGTATAAGTATGACTTTTGGCTTTCATCTCTTGAACCTGATTTGTTATGCTCAACCCTTGCTTTTCTGGCAGTATAATGTTTTTCTAGGGAGCTGACTGCCTTGACTTTAAACCTCTGATGAATTGTGAGATTGCACAAAAAGTTTGAAATAAGTAATGTAAACAAAATTCTATTTACCATAAATATGGTAATATTGATAATTGGGCAAAACTACAAGAAATATTTTTAAAAAGACCTAATAGCTTACAAAGTTGTAAGCTTACTTCATAAGGCTTTAGGTAACTATGTAGTCAGAAGAAAGTGTTTAATGTGATCTCTTGATATTGTATGTTTAAGGGAAAAGTCGATTATCCAGCTTGGAGAAAGTGGTCTTCTTTCAACTGGATACCGCCTTCTATATCCCTCTTTCCCATTTATTATGGGCCGATTTTAATATGTCAGTGTTGATGTCGATGTTATAATATATTGCTGTTGTGCTAAAACAATTTTCAGAGTTAAAGGACAGCTTTTGACTGTGAGATTTTTGTTACCATGACACATTCTTTTCATAAAACTATTCCTTAGGAATGTGGTAATCTTACACACTACCATGAATTCAGAGAATTATAGACATGCTCTTTGGAAGGCATCTCTGGAGGTCATCTAGTCCAGTTTCTGTTCCAGCCTGCATGGTTACTGGGACTAGATTGGGGCTCAGCTATGACTTTTGTCTAGCTGAGTCTTTAAAATCACCAAAGGTGAGTCCACAGTTGTGGTTCAGCAGATGTTCATTGTTCTAGTGATCCCTGACAGTCTATAAATTACTGTTTGCAAATGCAGTTCTGTGGATAACATAGGTGAGTGTTAAGTGAATGCCACACAGTTTTGTGCTGCAAGTGAGGTATTTATTTTTCTTACATACCTTATCTAAACACACTGATCTATTTTGAATTCTTATAATTTGATTTTTTTAAATGACATGTAAGTTATGGGACAATAAAATAAAATACTAACACATGCATAATTTTCCATGAAAATTATAACACGTATAAAATATAATAATAAATATTCGCTCTTTCTTGGCATGTCATCCCTTACCAAGATGCCGTTAAGTTACTTTTTTTCCAGATTACCCACTGCTAAGAATTTGTATTTAAGATCAATCCATCAGAGAGGGTACAAAGTTTCATCTTCTAATGCAAGAAGACTGTCAGACTGTCAAAACTCAGCTATTATTCCTGATGCATCCTATCTCTTAAGATTTTACAAACAACTAAAAGAATACTGAGGATAACTAAAGCCCATGAGGAGTGTTACTCATTTAACATTTTGGACAAATTTACTAGAAAGATACACATACTTTTCTAAGGTCAGCTATGAAAATTCAGGAAGCTGCTATGTCCTGTTTCTGTTCTTCAGGGGAGAAACATTTGTGTCTTGTAGCAGCCCAGCAGGTAGGCTCTACCATTAACTCACAGAGAAGATGGCTTTCTGAAAGGAAACTGTAGCACTACACCACCCAAACACACAAATGGAACGTGAGCTGCGAGAAGGAGCTGATGTATATGCAACAGCTGTGGTAGTTCCTTATGGAAAAGATGTTCACAACAGGGTATTTATTCAGCAGGATTTATTTTAAAAAGTAATGTATCCTTGAGTTTAGAAACCAGTAAACTAATCCCTGTATATTTCACTGTAACAGATTATAGTTGGTGCTGATTTAGGGAATGGTACAGGATCAACTGATAGCCACTACATTTTTAGGTACTTTTAGTTCCTGTAGTGCACTTACAGAGATGTTATGAAAGAGTTTGGGTGTTTAATCTTTTATAGGTAAATATGAACTTCTTGCAAAGGCTTTGTTAGAATTGTCAATCATTTAGAAAACAACAGGAGGATACAGATCAGTGTTGTGGCATGCTGAGTGGAATCAGTTGAATCACTCATGACTGCAGAAGTAATTGTTGAAGTCAACAGTCTTTGGCTGTTTAAAAAAAAAAGAGAGGAGCTTTGCACTATTAGTGTAGTTGAATTTGCAATACAACATCAGCATTTTTGTGAAGCAGAAAGGCCTCTGGGTAGTTCAGCACAAAATTTATCTAAGCTTTTTTTTGATCTCATCACATACTGCTATTTTGTTCTCTCTGAAGTCACTCCAGAGATGTGAATCAGCAGAGTGGTCGGTTGTGATTGCTGAGTGATTCTCAAATGCCAGTAGGTTAATTTGTACTTAATGTTGATAGAAGGTAAAAGAAAACATAGAACTGACTAAACTGGAGTAATGAAAACAGGTCATTCTTCAACAAAAATACATTCGAAAAGTTAAATACTGAATTGAAAGGGTATGCTCCATCTGAAGCATGAAAACACTTCTGTAACTTCTTCGGTCAAAAGTGACATTGGATGAAGTTCTTACATATAGAATTTGGAAGTCCAAACAGTTGAATTTGATGCTCTTAAGAGTGGTGTTTTCATTGCCATCACTTAGTGGTGTTATCTGAGTCAGAATGATGACTTCAAGTCTCTGTTTCTGCTTTTTCATTAATTTTTCCATGTTCTTAGGAAACCACGATCTGTCAGAAAAAGATACATACTGATTTTGTTTTTAAATTCTCCAGAGTGGAATTCTTGGGAAAGTTAGGCTCCATGGTTTTTTTCATCCACTTTAAAAACAAAGCATAACTAGGTAATGGACTTTTTCTACACATCATGCAGCCTTTACAATGAAGGTTGGGGGAAATATTGCAGTATATACTTTGATATATGGCTTGGTTTTGCTAAAGAACTAGAATTAAAATGCTTGAAACACAGAAGGATTCAAAGCCCTTTATTTTTGAACCAACTTTCTGGATCCCAAATAGGCTGAATTCAAAATAACGTGAAGAAACCTGGCATATAAGCAGAGAAAGTTAATTTTGATTTGTGGAGCCTTTACTCAATTTCTCAACAGGAAAGTCTCAAAAACTTTTTTCTCCTTGCTTTTTCTCTGGCTACCACTCATAGAATTGAGAATTTGAACTTGCAGACAGTTTTTTTTTGTGATGAAGCCCTGGAAGCATTAGAGGGATTTAGCAAAGCTGGATGAGCGAGAGGGAGCAAGAGGAAAGTCCTGCAGTTGCTGAATTCTGCAGTAGCAGTTTTTTCTTAATGGGAAGTGAAGGTGATTCAGCATAGTAATTTCTTGTGCTTACTGGCACTTGTAAGCTGCCTGTACATTCCTCGTTGTTATTCACTTCTTCAGTCCTTGGAAGGGGAGACTTAGGACCCAGAATACATGGAAACAGACTTCTTTGATCAGCACTCACTAGCTCTGCAAAGAGTTATTAGTAAATAAACTGTTCCTTAGAGCTGCTAGCCACATTTTTGCTGAGAAGACACTTTGCATTTGTTCTTTCACTGCTTAAGAGAAAACCTCTGTCAAATCCCTTATTTTGTCACTGTTACATCCAGAGGACTATTTCAGATTGTGTGGCCATGGTTGCAATGGCTTGAAAGGGTAGTTCTCAAGATTCCTTTGGCATTAGATATCTTCAAGTCCTCTGCAGCCAGCATAAACGCTAGCTAACATAAACTGGAAGTTGTCAGGCCTGACCATTCCCACATATGTCCAATTCTGTGCTCATGTCTGTTTAAGGTCAAATTTGTACTGCTGGGTGATAAGGGTAGCATGTGAACTTGATCCTAATTAGTGTTTGTGGAATTACTGTCTATATACCTGTTCCAAACAACACAGAGAGATTACTCACATTTTAAAAATAAATAAAAGTTTCCAAGGCTTAAGAAGTTGTCTTCACTAGTATGTTTTTGCTTTGGACATATTTTTATAGTACGTGGTAATACATTTTTAAAAGGGGCCTCTATCATGATAAAATCTGAGCTCTTCTGCAAC